CATCATGAAGATGCACCGATGCACTCCTTGAGTGTGCATCGATGCACTAGGCCATGCATCGATGCATCCGTCGGGTTTTTGGTTAAAAATCCTATTTCTTCTTCATTTTCTCAAAACCCTTGAAACACTCTTAGCCATCGTTCGTTTCTCTCTCTTCCTATACTCTCCTTTTGCTCAAAATCAACGAAAAATAGTCGGAATCTTCGAGTTTTACATTTCCAAATCCTGCTAACATCATCAAAACTTGCAAAACATCATCACATTCCTCTCAATCCAAGATTTTTCAAGGTATTCTTCTAAAAACTCATATTTTATCAAATTTTGATTTTAGAACTAGTTTAGATTAGTTCTAGGATGAACATTACATCGAGCATTGATTGTTTAGTGTTTAGAAACTATATTTTATAATCAATTTCATCAAAAACACTAAATTTTTCAAGAATTTTCAAGAATTTCGAAATAAAAAATATAATATTCGAAAATTTTAATTTAATTTGATGTTTTTGTTCTAATTATGTTGATTTGAAAACTATACATTGATTTTTCAAATGTTGTTTTCAAAAATTTTCAAAAACTTTGCCCATTAGGATTCGGTTCAGAGAACCTTGAATTATTACGGACTCAACTGAGTTTTGGGATTGATTATATTGCATACATGTGTTTCAAAATTGCAGGTTACATTCCTAATTCGGATTTCTTAAACTATGTCAAACCCTAAGCGCCCTAGGACTTCTTCGAGTCATTTTAACCGACATCCTAATCCTATTCCTCCTCACCCTCCAAATCCAAACGATCCCAATATGACCATTCTAAACTCCTGTTTTAATATGTCTGGTCATCATAGAGAAGAACTCTACCATAGGTACACGGATTCCTTCCGAGCTTACAAAATCTGGGAAGAACATATTCCCTCTGTTCAAGCCATGGTAGATATCAACTTTGAATACCTACCAACTCTAAAATCCTGGAAGTTTGATAAATTGTTTCACCTTAAACCTATTGTCTATCATCAGTTTGTCTGCATTTTCTACTCTAATGTGGTATGCATTCAAAACGAGAGTCAATGTGGGACTATAGGAATTTGATCCTACCTTTTAGGACAATATATTCATATTGACTCTGAGACTATAGCTAAACAATTTGGGCTAGATGACAATGGTTTATTTAATGAGAAAGAGAATATGGCATATCCCTATATTCCTAATGCTAGTATTAGTACCTTACGTACACATCACGATCGTTTTCTGCATTTAATGATCCCTTGGTGGTTTCGACCATCCGGAGGTAGGTACTCCATTCTTTGTGTCAGAGATTTATGGTGGATACATTGTATCCAGCATAATAGAAAGATATATTTTCCACAAATCATTTTTAGTGAACTAGCAGATACCATCATTGTAGTCCCTTCTAAACATGTCAAAACTTTAGTATATGGGTGTCTATTTAGTAATCTTTTTATCAAACTCGGTCTTAGAGTTTCTCTCGACAGTCCCATCCCTCTTCAAAACCAAATCAATCTCAATTCCTTAAAGAAAGCTGACTGGAAACAAGACAAGGAAACTGGTCAATGGGTCTTTCGACCCAATAAGCAAACTTCGGGAGCCAGTTTTTCACGAGCTGCTCCTAGCTCTTTTCGTGCTCCTCTTCCTCCTCCGGGACCGACTGCTGACGATGATCCCGAGCTTCAACAGCTTATGCAAGATATTGACAATCACGTACCAAACGATGAGCCTGCACCGGATCCAGCACAACAAAAAGATCAAACGCCTCCATATTTTTTATTTTTCCTATAATTGTTTGATCTGAGGTTTGCTTCCATGGAGTCTTAGCTAACTGAATTTCAATGGGAGATGCGTGAATGTATGAACGCTCTCACTTTTAAGTACGAGCACATCATCCTCCTCCTCCCGACCCTCTGATGGAGTAGATCTTTACTTGCCATGCTTTCTTGAACTTAGACCTTGGATTGATAAACATTTTGATGTTCTTGGATTATTTTTGATTTTGAATGATTATATGTTTCGATTTATGTTTTGGATGCTTGGATTTTAGAACTTATTATATATATTTGGTTGTTGAACTTATATTGGTTTATTAGTTTTTTTGTATCATTTAGCATATGACCAATTTTACCATATAACATTTCGTTTTATTATGAATATTGTTTTATTAAACTAACGACTAATCTCTATTTTGATTGTGATCTTAGCAGCTTAAGCTACATTTATAAATATCAATTGGCTATGTTTCAAAACTTGTTCTACAAATGCTTTTATTAAAGTCTTTTTGATTTAACAAAAAGGGGGGAGAAGATGTATCATAGTAAGGGGGAGTAATTTTAAAACTTGATTTCAAAAGAAAATCTTAAAATTACACAAATGTTTTGTTATATCAAAAAGGGGGGAGATTGTTGAAAATATTTTGATGTTTCGATTTAACAAACTAAGTTTAAATGAATTTTAAGATTTTACAAATTATTTTCTAAAGTATATTCGATATAATTATTTGAATATCAAAATATTACTCCAAGTCTTTCAAAGTTCAATCTCAATCCTTACTAATGTGTAAAATTGTGTTTTATACTTAAAATATTTTTGAAATAATTTTCACAAAGTATTTCGAACAAAAAACGAGCCTAAAATCAATTTTTCAGGTAAGTGTACCGATGCATGAATCAATGAATCAATGCATCCTTGTTTTAATTGAACATCGAATGGCTTTTGTGTACCGATGCATATACCATGCATCGATGTACTCCATATATATTAAAACATCGAATTGATTTTATGCACCGATGCACAAGCCATGCATCGATGCACCCAGGCTTTCTCAAAACATCAAAGTATATTTTGCATCGATGTACCATCAGTGTACCGATGCACTAAGGGTCAACGGTCGAAATATTTGAATTTTACACATAGTATACCGATGCACTAGCCTTATGCATCGATGCACCAGACGCTCCCATTGTTTTTTATTAATTGTTTTTCACACTTAAACGGCTCTATTGACTCCAGTAATCATTCCCAACATTCAGAATCAATTGAAGGAGTATTTAAACAAGCTTAGAAGCCATTGATCTATAAGGAAAAACAAGAAGAAACAACAATCAACTAGAATCAAGAGAGAATCAAAGAGAAAGCATCAAACTTATTGTTTGAGCACTTCAAGCCTATTTTTCATTCAATATTCATTTTGCTTTCAAGAACACTACTTGTACTCAATTGTATTCATTCTTGAGTGTTCTTTCTTTGTTCTAGAATTGTGCAAACAATCTACATTGTGAGGTTTTCCTTGTAAGTTTGCAAATTTGTGGTTTTCTCTTTGAAAAAGAGTGTTCTTAAGAATTGGGGTATATTTTTGAGGGAGTCGTAAGGTTATCTCTTTGGCCTCAAAAAGAAAGAACAAATTAGTGAATTTGTTGGAAAATACTTAGTGTGGATAGCTAAGGTAGTGGACGTAGACTTTGGTTGAGATAGTCAAACCACTCTAAATCGTTGTACAAATTTTTTCAATTTTCTGTAAAAGCTTCCACCAAAATTTTAATTGCCAATTCACCCCCTCTTGGCCGGCCTATTCCATCGATCGATTAACTTAACAGATACTAAGGGTACCGATACCGTAAGGTCAGTATCGATACCATTTTTGAAATGAGGATTACAAAATACAAAATGAGTATCGATACACAGGCTTGGTATCGATACCACAACTAGGGAAGTATCAGTACCATACATTGGGTACCGATACTACTTCAAGTGGAAAATAGAATTAAACCTTTCTTTTAGCCTAAGAACATAAGGATCGAATCATGATATTTGGAATGTTGATATGTATATAATATGTATGATTGTGTAGATATCGAGCACAAGCAAGTTCCGAAACAACGTAGAGTTAGGATCAATCCAAATAGATTAAATCATAGAAGTGGATTTGGAATTAAGTGAGGCTAAGGTGAGTGCATACTATAAGTATAGTTCAGTGGAAATAAGACTAGTGATAAGTCTATTTCCTATGTTAGTTTCATAGTCCAATAGTTATGAACATGCATACATTATGGTCATTATAAACACATGCATAAGTTATATATGTTATTATGGTTTGATATATGTTATATAAATCATGTAAACATACTCAAATAACATATGTTATATGATATGAAGTTAATGGTTATATGTACATGTAATATGTGATTATAGGAGAAATGACATGAGTACATGAATATATGAAGTATAATAATATTGCTCATGTTATGTGATATAAGAGTCGAGGGTTACATAGGTCCTTCGGGACATATCTCACATGACACTAAGTGGACCCTTATACGAGCTGTGGTGACAACATATGTGCATAATCTCAATATACTCGCATACCTTAAGTTCTAAGTGATATACATGGGCCTATAAAAGATATAAAAAGTGGTTACATTATTATATGCTATCATGCTATTATTGTTTACAATGAATCATATGTAATATGATGGAATCATGATATGATAGTTATGATTTTATTTGAATAATTACATTGCATGTTCATATTTATAGGAAATGCATTATTATAGTTTTATGCCTCACGAAGTCTATGACATAGCGTGTAAGCGTTTTACACGTAGGTACTGAGAAGCAAGAGGATCAGACCTAAGATCTGCAGAGCAGCATACATCCACTCGAAGATCAGAAGTAAATTCACAGTATTTATTTTGTTGTATCAAAGGCGTTGGCATGTAGGAAAGTGTAATTCACATATGCTCTAATTAGTTTTGTAATGTTTTGATCGTACTTATGTAAATTATTAACTTTTTTTAATGAAAGTTTGAATTTTCATTATTTTTATAAGTTTTAAAAATTTTGAATAGTTGATGTGACACCTCGGATTTGTATTCGGGTCAGGTACGGGTTGGGGGTGTTACATTTAAATGCCAACATAAATGTGAGAACTTCTATTCTGATAGGGTAATGAGTATGTTGTTTTGCTAATAGAACTATATGGTTATATCTTATTAGATGTTCGGACAAGGTAGCTACCGAAGTGAAGCAGGAGATGATAGGCTAGTTAAGAGTAGTAATTCACCTGCCCTGGCCAGGCAAGGTGAAGAACATGCTCCTTCTGGAGTGCATGTACAAGACCAAGACATTTTCTTCAAAACGTTGGACTGTATTCTAAAGCGTTTCCAACCTCATGTTCCTTCTACTCAGAGAATGAATATAGCAAATGAGTTAAAGGGATTAGGAGCTCATGAGTTCAAAGGTGAAACCAATGAAGGTCCTGTTGCTGTGAACCTTTGGCTCAATGATGTGAAGATCATGTTAGATGGACTCCACTGTTCGGATGTGGAAAAGTTAGATGAAGTGGTCTCATTGCTTTGTGGGCAAGCGAGAATTTGGTGGAAAAATGTTACCCTGAGGATGACTAGTGATCAAGTAACCTGGTCCTTGTTCTTAGAAGAGTTCATACACAAGTATATAGAAGATCAATTCATTAAGCAGATGAAGCAAGAATTCTTGAACATGAAGTAAGTAAATCGTACTGTATATGAATACGAGTTCGAGTTCAACAAGTGAAGTCATTTTGCGGCTGTGTTGGTTTCGTCAGAGAAAGACGCATGCGAGTGGTTTGTTGAGGGCTTGCGCCAGAGGTTAAAGGAGATGTTGATTGTGTTGAACTTGTCCCCATTTTAGGAGGTAGTTAATCGTGCTAAAGCTGTAGAGATAGCTCATAATGAATGGTTTAGGGAGAAAAAAGCCCAACCTTCTAAAAAAATTGGGGCTTCATCAAGTTCTGCACCACCCAAGAGAAGTAGAGATTCTGGTTTTCGATCTCAGACGAGGTCTAAGTTAGTGGAATTCTCTATTAGAGGATCAAATCAGATGAGAGCTAGACAGACTCAATCAGTGGGGTCTGGTACTGGAATAACAAATCAGGGTCAAGTTAAACAATAACAACTTTGTGGAAGAAGTCATAATGGAATATGTAGAGTAATCTCTGGAGCTTGTTTTAGATGTGTGGAAGCAGGACATTACATGAGGGATTATCTATTGAGGGCCGAAGAACCTGCACAGTCAAAGCGATCTGGTTTGATGTCTCATAGAAGAAGGATAAGGGGTAGAGGAAGAAGTCAGCCCGAATTCTCTACTCAAAAATAAGTGTGCTCTACTGTCCTAGTGTATAATATAAAGACTAATGAAGATCGTAATGATCCAAAGATAATTGTAGGCATTTTCTTACTGTATGATAAATGTGTTGCCGTATTGATTGATATGGGTTCTACATACTCATATATTAGTAGTAAATTGGTGAGAGAATTAGGAATTCAATTAGGAGCTATTAGTAGTGATGTGATAGTGACAAATCCATTAGGACACAATGCTTGTGTAAATAGAGTGTGTCAAGGGTGTCCCATACGAATTTAGGGAATTGAATTTCCTACTAATCTGATGGAATTACCCTTTGAGGAATTTGAAGTGATAATGAGAATGGACTGGTTATACCTTTATCACGCTAATATTGATTGTAGACTGAAAAGGGTAACATTAATCAGTTCAGACGGATTGGAAGTAATAGTGTACAGTGAAAGATGTAATCAATTGGCAAACATTATATCAGTAATGTCAGCAAAGAAGTTATTACTATAATGATTTCATGGTTTTATTGCTAATGTGCTGGATACTAGAACCAAGGAGAAAGGGTTAGAAGAAATTCCTATAGTTAGAAAATTTCCAGATGTCTTTCTGACAGAGTTCTCAGGTTTACCTCCAAATAGAGAGGTGGAATTTTAGATTCAGATAATTCCTGGAACCGCACCCATTGCAATGGCACCGTATAGAATGGCTCCAAAAGAGTTGTAGGAGTTAAATAATCAATTTCAGGAATTGTTGGATAAAGAATTCATTATACCAAGTGTATTGCCATGGGGAGATCCAGTATTGTTTATCAAGAAGAAATATAGTTCAACGCGTCTCTGCATTAACTATATGTAACTCAACCTAAATGCGAATTTTGGTTGAATAAAGTAACATTCCTTGGACATGTGATTTATGCGGAAGGAATTCGGGTTAATCCTCAGAAGATAAAAGCCATTCTAGAATGGGAGGTTCCAAAGAATGTATCTGAAGTATTATGGGACTTGCAGGTTATTATCGAAGATTCCTTAAGAACTTTCAATGATAGCTTTACCTTTAACTAGGTTGATGAGGAAAGATGTGCCATTTACTTAGACTCCTGAGTGTTAAGAAAGTTTTGAAACGTTGAAGAAAATTTTGACAGAAGCTCCAATATTGGTTCAACCTGAATTTTGCAAGAACTACTTGGTTTATAGCGAGATGTCCCATAATGGCTTGGGATGTTATTGATGAAAGGGGGAAAGATGGTGGCTTATGTGTCGAGACAATTGAAACTGTATGAGAAGAACTATCTAACGCACGATCTAGAGTTGGCCACAGTAGTGTTTACTCTTAAAATCTGGTGTCACTACTTATATGGTGAACGTTGCTATTTATATACTGATCATAAGAGCTTGAAGTATTTGATGACCAAGAAAGAGTTGAATTTAAGACAGAGGATATGTGTGTAATTTCTAAAAGATTATGATGTGGTAATCGATTTCCATCTTGGAAAAGCAAATGTGGTGGAAGATGCTTTAAGTCGGAAGATGTTTTCATCCTTACAAGCTTTAGATGTCAGGTTTTCATTTGATGGAGATGGTGCAGTATGTGCAGATTTGACCCTTAAGCCAACATGGCTAGATAGAATTAAGGAAATGCAAACCAAATATGAAAAGTGTTTGAAGAGGCTACAGTAAGTAAAGAATGGAGAGCTTAATGATTATGAGATTAAAGCTGATGGGAATCTGTATTGCCGAGGGAGATTAGTGATTCTAGATGATGTTGAGTTGAAAAATGAACTATTAACAGAATATCACTGTAGTCCATTGACGATGCCCCCATGTGGAAACAATATGTATATGGATCTCAAAAGTCGATATTGGTGGTCAGGAATGAAAATAAGTATTGCGAAATTTGTATCCAAGTGCTTGACTTGTCAGAAAGTCAAAGCTGAGAATCAGGTTCCATCAAGATTATTACAACCAATGTCTATTCCTCAATGGAAATAGGAAAATATGATAATAGATTTTGTGACAGGATTGCCATTGACACTAAACAAGAGATATTCAATTTGGGTGATTGTGGATAGATTGACTAAATCAGCTTATTTCATTCCAGTAAGAGCTGATTTCTCCATGGATAAGTATGTTGAATTGTATATCAGGGAGATTATTAGATTACATGGTGTACCAGTTTCAATTTTTTCTAATCGGGATAACAGATTCACATCGAGGTTTTGGAAGACTTTACATGGAGCGTTAGGAACTTGATTGAATTTTAGCAAAATTTTCCATCCTCAAATCGATGGGAAATCTGAGCGGACTATCCAAATTTTGGAGGATATGTTGAGAGCCTGTATAATAGAGTTCAAGGGATCATGGGAAAAATACTTGCCACTTACGGAATTTGCTTACAACTATAGCTACCTGTCAAGTATCAAGATGGCTCCTTATGAGGCTCTATATGGGAGAAAGTGTAATACGCCCTTGAATTGGTATGAGCTTAAAGTCCGAGAAGTTCTTGGTCCTGAATTAATTCATGAATGGAAGAAAAAGTTTAAGTGATTCATAATAACCTCAAACTAGCGGCTGATAGACAGAAATCATATGTCGATCTTAAGAGAAAAGAGATAAAATTTCAAGCTGGAGATAAATCATTCTTAAAGGTGTCTCTATGGAAGAAAGTGTTGTGGTTTGGGCGAAAAGGAAAGCTTAGTCCTTGGTTTATTGGACCCTATGAGATCGTTAAGAGAGTGGGACTAGTGGCATACCAATTAACTTTGCCACCTGAAATGGAGAAGAGCCATGATGTTTTCCACGTTTTAATACTTTGGAGATATATGCCCGATCCCTCCCATATTGTAACACCATAAGAGATAGAGGTTCATCTTGACCTGACTTATGAAGAATAACCAGTCCAAATATAGCTCATGAGGTAAAATAGTTAAGGAACAAGACTATTCCATTGGTCAATGTATTATGGAGGAATCACAACGTAGAGGAAGCAACGTGGGAGCGTGAAGAGGACATGAGGAATCAGTACCCCCATCTCTTTGTGCAGTGAAAATTCGAGGAAATATTTACTTAAGGGAGAGAGATTTGTAACTTCCTAAAAACTGGGTTAGTGGCCAAATTGTAAAATTTCAGGATTTAGTGACTAAAGTATATAAATTGAATAGTTCAGGGACTTATATAGAAAATTTTGCACATGACTAAATAGAAAATAAGGATTAATGAAAGGTCAAAATGGTCATTTGACCTATAAATGAATTAAAAATGAGATATAGAGGAGATATATACACGTGGAGATGTGTAAAAAGGGGAAAATGAAGATTTCTCAAGAAAACTCTCTTATTCTTCTTCAGCCGTGAGCTACTATAGCAAAGGTAAGTTTTATTCTGAGTTGATTAGTTGTTGAATTTAAGTTTGGTTTATGATCATTGGATGATACATAAACTTAAGGAAAGCTTAAGTTATCTTAAAACTGTAAGATGAAGGAATTATGAGGGAATATGATGGAATCATGATAAGTTTGGTTACATTATTATATGTTATCATGTTATTATTGTTTATAATGAATCATATGTAATATGATGGAATCATGATATGATAGTTATGATTTTATTTGAATAATTACATTGCATGTTCATATTTATAGGAAATGCATTATAGTAGTTTTATGCCTCACTAAGTCTATGACTTAGCGTGTAACCATTTTAAACTAGGTACTGAGAAGCAAGAGGGTCAGACATAAGATCTGCAGAGCAACATACATCCACTCGAAGATCAGATCAAAAGCAAATTCACAGTATGTATTGTAATACCCCAAATTTTGGTTAGTGACCAAAATATAACTTTTGAAAGTTTGATGGTCAAAGTATAAAACTTGGAAGAAATTTTAGGTAATTAAGTGGTAAAGTTCTTGAAAAGAATTTTATTTCATAAATATATAGTTTACTCTTGAGAGTGGGGTTTTATGGAATTATATTTTGAATTTGGAATTTGGTAAAGAAAAAAAAATTAGAAATGGTTAAAATCGGTAAGGAATCGGTAATTTCAGATTGAATTGGAATATTACAAAAATTTGAAGGATGTTATAAAATAGTTGGAAATATTATTTTAATATTTTGGATCAGATAATTTTGGTCTGGAAAAATGCAGTTTTTCAAATTTAATCGAAACATTGGAATTTAGTGACTAAAATACAAGTTTTGAAATTTCATGGGAAAATTCAGAAATTTAAAGTCAAAATATTTCATATTTGACTTTGAATTATGATAAGGATGAGTTGTCATAGTTTTATAGTAAATAGGAAGATTTATTAAGGGTGAGTTGGTCATATCCCAATTAAATGAATATAATATTCATTTATAGTGGAATATAGAGTAAAATAAGATGAATGCACCCAAATTTGCTATCTACTTCTCCAAATCAGTCGTGGGTTCTCTTTCAAGGTAAGGGAAAGATTCAACTCAAATTTCAAGTAATTTACTTAGGATTTTGAGTAAGTTGTAAATAGAAAATTGTTATATATGAAAAACTCTATCTTTTGGTACCAATATTGCATGGTAATCTTGTTGGTGTTCAAAGATCCCAAATTTAAGGGTTTGTATTCTTATAAAGGATCATGAAATTGATGATGGATTTTTTATGGTTGTGGGGTAGTAGATTTATATTCAAGCATGTGTGATGAATAGAACATTTTTAATCTTTTTAGAACTTGTTCTATGAGTTTTGGTCATGGATTGTTTGAGTGAGAAAAATTATACATAGGTTGAAAATGATGAAGAAAGTATGCTACAAGTTTTAGAAAATTTGAGGATCATTTCGTAAGTTTTGAAAAGTTGGATAACAATTTGTAAATTCTAGAAAATTGAGGGATTGTTGTGTAAGTGTTATATAATTGATGTGCTATGCTGGAATTTTTGGTATTAAGGATTTAGGTGGTAAAATGGTAAAGGACCATTTTGAGTAAATTGGAAAAATTGGTTCCAATACTAAAAAAAATTAATAGATGTTAAAATATTTTTATGGTGAATAGTT